AAGTGTATATTAAAATTTCCAAGTAATCAAATAACATGCGTAATTTAAAAAAAAAAAAAAAACCAAAAAAAAGAAAAAAAAAAAAAAAAAACAGAAAAGAAAATAAGAAAATAAGAAGAAAGAAAAAGAAGAAATGCTTGGCGCTTCCCCGTACGCGCTATCTTTTAATTAAAGCACTAGGACAATGGACGCGGGGAAAATTGAGGTGGCGAGGAACGTTGCAACATAATGAAATCGCGTATCAACGCTTGGCTTATTGTGAATAGCGGGGGCATGTAAGATAAATTGCTTCATGGCGCAGACAAGGCTTAATAATTTCGTGCAGAGCGGACACGTTTGCGCATTTGCGCGTTTGACTTTGTGGCAGGCTGGAATTGTTGAATCGGGTCGCGTAGCGTCCGACGAGCGTCAGAGACTAGTAACCGTGACGTTTGTTTTTTCGATGCTTGAAAAATATACATACATATGTATATATTTCTGTTGGACTGTGTTTTGAACAATGTTGCGCGACGTGCAAGCTCGTTTCGAATACTGTTTCAAATAAATTAACACACTTTCGAGGGGTAGATTGTAATTTTATATCCGCAGGAATATGACGAGCTCGACGAGTTTATTATACAAGCTTAACGAGCTTACTAACAGATAACGTGTCGTTGAATTACAACAATGAGATATAGAAAACAAAAAACAAATATTAAATATGGAACGAAATATTTTCGACAGATATCTATCGATTTATTATTCGTACGTTATGAACGTTCAACAATTGTTAAAATAAATATCAAGAAAAAATTCGACGATCGAAAGTTGCCTTTTAACAAAGGCATAATTACCCTGTTAGCCTTATGTGGACGGCTAACGAGCTGAAATTTTTAAAGGAGCCTCTTAAAATAGCCTACGTGATTTTACGTCGACTTATTTTATTTTTTCCTTTTCTTTTTCTTTTTTCTTTTTTTTTTCTCTCTGCCCCGATGTAAGATTTATATCTTATTTGAAACGAATGGTTTCTAGATCAAATCGAACTGGTGAACGCGCAGCAAACTTGCCGTGGAAAATGTAAAAATAGTGTGACATACAATTTTACAACTTCGATGCCACCCACGCCAACGGAAAGCTGCCTCTGCACCCTCGATTGCGAAGAACAGTCGCTCTGCTGTCCGGATTACGCGGAGTATTGCATTCTTGGTCAGTATATCAACCACCGCGGTTTCCAAACGCTTGGTTTCTTCCTCGATTCGCTCGATATTCGATTCGTAAGATTTAGTTCATTTCGCGATACGTGGCGTGAAGTACACATGTAAAATAGCATGTGTCTCCGAGATTGATTTGTTTGTAAATTATCTGACGTATAATAATTGTATTAAATTTATTTTATCAATATTCAATCAATGGCGAATTATTCAAAACTTTTTATTAATTTTTTTTATGTGAGATTTATCAGCTGTCGAGAGTCTCTAGGGTTGAATTGTTTTATTAATCGTCTACACTGTCCGTTAAAATCAGCTACCTCTATCTAACGCTCATGTCGCTAGCTTCGAGTAGAAATTCAACAAATTGCAAATCCAGTTAATACTAAAGCTGGTCAAAATGACTGATTCATAATTTTTTTTTCAGATATATTACAGATGCAGAATAATGTATTTTTAGAGGTTTAAATGATTTTTTTATAAAACACGCGAATAAAAGTTTGTATGTTCTATTTTTTTTTTTTTTTTTTCTTTCACTTTAATATCTCTGAATATGAAAATTCTATTCTGCTTTAGTCCTTCTCTAGTGTCAAGCCGTGTTTGTCCTAATCTGAGCCTTTTCAATCCGCAGCGTACACCAGCGAGGCGAACGTGACCGTGGAACAGTCGACGATCCCGAACCACGAGGGTGCAGTTTCAGTTCCAGCAACGAGAAAGAGCACGATGAGCGACATGGCGACGGTCAGAAGCGGTTTCTCGATAAATCCGAAGGACGACATCGATCCTGTCACGCTGAAACCGTCCACTGTCACGACAATCGCGCCAACGACCACGAACACGACCACGACCACGACCACGACCACGACCACGACCACGAGGAGAATCGAGAAACCGCCAACGAAAAGCACCAAACGCGCCACACAGACAATCGTCACTACGAGAACTATTCAGACGTCGGTGACGCCATTTGTTCGGCCCACCAGCACACCTGGCAGATACGCTCCAGTGAACGAGAAGCCTGGTAATGCGAATTCTGTTGTATCACGTTCGATTGTGAAACTTCCTGGCCAGCGTTCACGTGTTGAGGAACGCGTTCCCTCCGCGTGTGGGCATTTCAATGGGACTTTCGAATCGGAAGCGAACCGGAGGAATTGAGGAAGTTGGTACTAACCAAAGGTTGCGTTTCGGCTTTTCATCGTGTTGTTACACGTACCATCGGGGAGGGTAGCCTCGGCTGATTACTGGGTTGGCTCGCGTTTCTCTGGAATAATACCCGATGCTCCCCTGCATTATTCCGGGATAATCGATTCAACTCGACGAATAATTGGACAACGTTCAGTTCTGCCGTCGAGAACTGAGACAACGCTTCGGAAACTTTTTGCCGACGACGGGAAATTTATTTCGGGAACGAGGAAAAATAGAAAATTCGAAGACTAGGGAAACAGAAATATAGAAAAATGAACATGCCCAAAATTAATTTTAACCCTTTATGTATAACCTGAGTATACTCGTCATGAAAAGATGGATCGTTTTTTGTTTAATGTCGTCATGTAGAAAGAAAATTCGCTTTTGCTATTTATCGTAAAAAAAATTATATATATATTCGTAATTTTCGAAGCAACAAAACGAAAAGAATAAAAATAAAAATAAAATGAAACCAATAAAATTAAAAATTCTTCAAAGAAACATAAAAAAGAAAATTTATCATTTCGTTATAATTCAATCTTAATTTAATTTAATCTTAAAGCATGTGCATTTACTGTATTTTCGTCATCGCCTAGAAATAATTAAACACACTAGTGCACGTTCAAGACGAAACGCTCAAAGGGTTAAATAGCATAAATCTGTGGAAATTTTTAAAGAGAGATTCTCGAGAAAGTGGAGGTAGATAGAGATTCGAACGGCGAAAAGTTCCGATGAAACCGAGATCGAATCTGAAAGCTCGTCCTTGCAAAGTACCTTTCTCAGAGAGTCGATAAGACTTTCCTCCGTCGAAGAATGTGGACGAGATAGAAAGAAAATGAGATAGAAAGAAAAAAAGAAAACGAGCATTCTTTTCCTGCAGATTCGAACGAGAGGAGGCAAGATCCGGAGAAGATAGCCCGAGGCTCGAGGTTCAGCTTGTCGGGAATTATCGCCGCGGTGGTCGGGAGCCTGACGGGTGTGTCCATCTCGCTAATGCTCCTGGTTATCATCCTGAGACGAAGAAAAACGTACAAACGCGGAACGAACGGATCGGCGCTATCGGAGGACAGCGACGTCCGATTTTTAACGTCCGACGAGATCTTGGACTTCACGTTGGCCAGGCCCAGCGACAACGACGAGACGTAAGAGACATTCCTCCGTATTATACAACGTTCCTTGTTTTTTACTACGATAATAAATAATAAAAGTCGCTGGTCGCGAGTGGCACGTAATTGTATGTGCATACAATAGGATTTGTGGAAACGCTGAACTATTCGCGGGCATCGGCTGCCGTGCACTTAATGAAAAATCAAACAACCGAACGATACGTAATCAACTGCCGCAGTGGTTAATTATTTTCAATATTTGACGTGTACCCTTTGTAGTTTCGAATGGTTTGTAAGTAGAGTAACGAGTCGAAATGCGAAATTAACTCTTCTGAAAAGACGTACATACGCGCGAATATCAAATTCATATCTGCTTATATTATCCCCGAAATGATGCGATACATTTTCATGTTTTAAATTATCCTTTGACCATGGGAAACTTGTGAATGTATCTCCAATATTCTCCGATATTCTCATTATTCGAATCGTCCAAACGAATGCTTATTATTCGACGCCTTTTCTTATTCACATTTAGTAATTTAATACCGTTTTCATCTTCCAAATCTGACAATGTTTCCCCCGGCTTCTTTTTCATCGAACACATCACTGGCTACCTCTTTCATTTATTTTCAATTTTCTCCACAAAAATTTTAAGATAACAGCCTTGCCGAATCCGCAAGCTGGATGTCGACTGTGTGCGATTGACACGACTCTTTATTGGTTATGGATTATCATCTGTTAAACGAATATATGTATGTGTTTTTTCGCTCTGTTATTCTCGTCGAACGCACATATGTATCTTTCGGCTCTGTCACAGCTGTTTTTAGCCGAACACGTATACGAGTTTATATCCGCAAAGGGTGTACGCTATACGTGCACAGTTGTATTAAATATATAAATTAACTCGGCACCTTTGCGAAAAAAAAAAAAAGAAGTGAAAACTTCATTCGTAGAGATCCGTCGAATATTTCGATGTAATAGCTTTCGCCATTCGTGTGTAATCAAACTAAGACAGCGTAGACGTAATAATCAGAGTCCCCTTTGATCAACGTCTCGTTGCCAGCTTGAAAAAAGCCACGATCTCGTTCTTCGGGGCGGTGCCTGAAAGGCGGCAATTTTCGTTTAATTTTCGCCGAGGCAATTAATCAATCAGCCGGGATTCAAATTAACCAATTTTCATCGATCCGCCGCGCTGTTCATCCCAGAGAGTTCGTACAGGGGTGGCGCGTACGACACGAGTGAGCATATACAAAGTGATTTAAAAATACAGCGTGATTGCCAACGTCGGTCTCTCATTGATCCCGCCCGATAACCGACGGGGCTAACGCTACCCCTCTATTTTTACGAACTCGCACGCTCGCCCTTTCGCCCGAGACACCGGCTGAACGCCGGAGAAACACCGAATTTAACCTGGCCGTAGGGGCGGAACGACAGTTCGCCGGACGTTGTAATTAAGCGTCAGATAACGAAACGACAACGGCGGGGGTGGCTTTCCATAGCCGGCTGGCTGTTCCGCGAAAGCTGCGACCCCTCGACACGACTCGCAACTTATTTATCTGGTCGCCGTGTTTATCGATTCGCCGAAGGATCGCACCGGAAACGAAGAACGGTTTCCAGCTGCCAACTGTATTGCACGAGTGTCGTTTCGGCTAGGATAACAGCAGGCTCGTAACAGTTGCTCCGCTTTCTCGGTGAAAGTGCTCGTAGAAAGTGCCGCGATAAGGGGCATTTCCCATCGAACAAACCGTAATTAACGATTAACTTACTCTCTTCCCTCTCGCCGATCGTCGTTACGTTAATACCGCGATACTTTGCTCCTCCACTCTGATACGATTTATTTTTCGTTTCGAGCTTCGGTTCAGGTTACCCTTAGAGCTACGTACAACTCTGTATTTGTTTTATCTCGTTATCTCTTAATTTTCTTTGTTTTTTTTTTTTTTTTTTTTTTTTTGGCTTGGTTTATTTTACTCCTTTCGGTCTGTTTCGAGAAGACAATTTTCTTTGAATTTCTTTCCTTTTTTCGATATTCCCGCAGAAAATACAAACTCAATAAATTGAATTCCACTGCAAGCTGATACAATAAAGTTTCACGATGGCAAAGCGGGACGAACGGTGGGCGAAAGTGTGTTTTTTAATAAATTTCCACAGAGAAGAAAGAGATCGTTGGGAAGTTTCGAGGTGGACGGGGCAGTCCGTCTTGAACTTTCCCGCGCGCGGTGGCTTCTATTTTTCTGTCTTCACACGTTTCTCGTGTTACGGTTCCTTTATTAAGTTTCGCCCGGCGCTCACGCGTCAGAGCAGCTGCATTTTGCACGAACTTGCCGCTCAAAGAATTCCGAAAAACTTGAGAAACTCAATTCCACCATTTTCATTTCGCCCGGAGAAGAATTCCCCACCCCCCTCCCGCTCGTGAAGAGTTACCGAATCACCGAATTCTGTATCCTTCGCGCGCCTCAGTTTCTCGCTGCATTTATAATCAGTCTATATAAGCATTAAAGTTAATAAATTATCTTTGCCAAAGATAGACCTTTTGTTGTATCTCTTTCGAAGGTTTTGAACCTTTCTCGTCAACCAACGAGAATTCCGGAATACTTTTACAATTCGTTCAGAATATCTTTCAAAATCTCGTTCTATATTCACGGATGATATGATACAAATCGTGATATAAAGAACTTTGACAAATTGTTCCCAAAGGGAGGTTGATTCGAGCAAAGTCTTAAAATTTCGGGGGAAAAAGTTCGAAAAGAGTTTTACGAAAATTTGCATTTTGCACGCTAGACGATAAAACTCACACGGGCGCGCGACGTCGAGAAGCGAAAAAAGATTTTCATCCAGCGTCGTATGAATCTGTCTTCAGGGTGGCATTAAACGCGCGGTGAAACTCCCATCGAACGATGTTTTTTTACCCGAGAGAAGGGAAATGAGAACAGCCAGGTGTGTTCGCATCTTGCCTGCGAATCGAGCACTACGGTTTTCCCTCGGACGCGGCGAAGATTAGATTTTCGGATTCGAAGAAGTAACGCCCGTAATGCGGCGCTAAATATTGAATTCGATGCACGCCGATGTACGCGGAACGCGGCGAACAACCAGCCAGGCTAAGTGAATTCCCGAGTAACGTCGCCATTTGCATTCATCGGCGAACTAAATTTCCATTGTATCTCTCCCCGAAGTGTTATCGTGCCTTTCCACCATCGCCTCTCCACTATTGTACGGTTTTGCGAAATGTTTCGGGAAAATTCGCAACCTGGGCGAGCACTTTCTCACCCCCCTCGATCGCCCCAACCCCTTCGGCGCTCGAACGATTAATTAAATTAATATTGTGAAAATAAAATTAATAAAAAAAAAATAGTAAAATTAGTAAAATAGTAAAATTAATAAAAATAAAATTAGTAAAAATAAAAATAATAAAATTAGTAAATTAGTAAAATTAATAAAAATAAAATTAGTAAAATTAATAAAAATAAAATTAGTAAAATAGTAAAATTAATAAAAATAAAATTAGTAAAATTAAATAGTAAAATTAGTAAAATTTATTTTTATATTATAAAAAAATTATAAAGAAATATGTCTGTCTTTGTGGAATTTTTATATTTTAAAAAAAGTCGCGCTTGGGAACTTAAACTTTAGAATTCCCCCGAAATATAATCTATAGAATTATCTGTAGTAAACGTTTCATATTGTAACGAATAAAATTTTATATTTAAGTATTATTCACCGGATAGTATTATATTTGCTACAAATATTGGGAACTTTTTTAACATCGCAATAGCACAAATTATCTGCGAAATTTGTATTTCTATATTCCCTAAGACTCTGTCCGAAACTCTTACTTCTTAAGAAGTAATTATTTATCGGCATTTGTGATATAAGAGAACATTTTTCGGAAAACTTTTACGAATCATGTTTGAAAGTTGCTCAACTTTCTCGATCTCTGATCAAAGTTTTGCTCGAAAGCAGGACGCGTTAATAAAATTTTCTCGTTAACCACTCTTATTTTCTCTTGTCGAGAAGCGTGCTAATTTTACAACGAAGGAATTAGCTGCGTTAAAAAAAAAAAAAAAAAAAGGGAAATTACGTGTTCGTGTGACAAATTTTTTTTTTTATCAAATACACGATAAATCGCTATTAAAGCATCGTTAAATATATACCGCGACGCTCGTTAAAAGTTGCCTCTATAAAAAGCGCCCCATTAAAAAAAACGTTTCATTCAAGTATCTCAAAGCCTCCCTCTTCTAAAAAAAAAAAAAAAAGTGCCGTCGCCAACAACTTCGGTGGAAGTTTTATTTAATAGAAATTATTATTAGCATATCAGCCTATGTATCTGACTTATACTTCAGCTCCTACCAATTTAATCTCACGGTACAACACGGTTGTTTAAGCTCTCTAATCACATACCTCATAATCTACCGTTATTTATCGTTGTAATTATAGACCTTAATCGTTTCGTTCTTCATACTTCTCCCCTGTACTGCGTTTCAGAGGAATAAATAATTATCAAAATTTTCGGAAATTTATAAATTAATCGCGACCGACCGAATTAATTGCAGCTGCCAGAAATTCTAGAAATTTCGCAAAGTTAGTTGCAAGATTATCGAAATTACAGGACTTATGCATACACAATAGACTTACGAAATTAATTCACGACAAGATCCATACTCATAAGTCACAACAAACTTACGAGATTAATTCACAAAGTTGTCCTGAAAATCCTGAAACTGATTCACGAGTACAGTGAAGAAATTCCGAAAGTTACAGGAGTTTCTGAATTGGCAAAAGTATCAGTGTTCCACAAATTACAGAAATTGCCAAAGTTGTCGAAGGAGAAAAAGAAACTAGAATATCTAAATATAAATCTATATATAAATCTATATCAAAGTTTTTTTCTCCTTCGACAACTTTGGCAATTTCTGTAATTTAATAAATAATGTTATGTAATTTAATACTAAATGTTGGATGATACTGATTCGATCAATCATCGGTAAAACTCGTCGAGAAGCGGTACTCGGTCTCGTTTCTTCATCAGGCGAGCACCGAAA